CACACACACACACACACACACACACACACACACACACACACAAGTCTGACACATCCTCGTCAAATGCCAGCTCATATTAAGGTGGAGAGAAGGTACCTCCCTCTGTTTCATCTCCTCTTTTTTGCCTGAATATTTTCTCTCAGGATTCATATTTATGAACACAAACTGCATGAAATAAAGGAAGCATTCTGACTAAAATAATCTCAGTTCGCTGTAGGTCTCTCATTTAAAGAGATTATTGTGTCCTAAACCTTATTACAACTAGGGTTTTCAAAGCTGAGGCTCGGGATCCCACTGTGGGTCGTGAAACAGAAAGTGTGGGGTCTTCAGATGATTTCCAGAAACTAAATCAGATTTTAAAAAGATTGTTAAAAGCAGATTTCTTCCACTATTGTTCTATAAATATACTTTAATGTTTAGATTAACTTACCCTTCTTTTTAGGCTTATTCACTTTAACCTTTGATTTAAGACTCATTTGCTGAATAAATTAGTTTTTCTCCACTGAATAAAGAGGCACTGAGCTGAAGCATTAGTGCAGATAACAAAGTGTGTGTATGAACAAGTAACATCTTACCTGTTGTAGATAATCAACCTGGAGAATGTGAGTTTAATTTTAATTCATCCCAGCTAATGACGCTTAAAGATCTATCTACAACAGGTAAGATACTAACTATTCATTAAACAAATTGTCTGCAAAAATGTAACAGAAGCTGAAATCAGCAAAACGGTAGCTAAAAGCTAATATCAACAAAACTGCAACTAAAAAGCTAGACGTAAACAGTGACTAAAAGCTAAAAGCAGCAAAATTGTTAGAAAAAACTGAAATGATCAAAACTGTTGCTAAATGCTAATATAGGCAAAAGAATAACTAAAAGACAAATGTAGCAAAACAGTAACTAAAAGCTAAGTTTTATAAAAATGGTAGTAAATGCTATGACTAAAAAATACAGAAAAGCAAAAAAAAAAAACAAAAACAAAACAAAACTGTAACTAAAAGCTGAAATGATCAAAACAGAGGCTAAAGGTATATATTAGCCAAACTAAAAACTAAATGTAACAAACATTAACTAAAATATTAATGCAACAAACGAATAGCTTAAAGCTAAAATTAGCAAATTACAGCTAAAAGCTGACATTGCCTAAACTGTTACTAAACACAAATATCAGCAAAACAGCAGCTCAAATCATACATCAACGAAAGATAGAAGCTAATAAACAAAAGAGTAGCTAAAAGCTAAAATGCTGAAAGAAGCTGAACTTCAGCTGCATCGTTCTCCACCTGACTGATGTGTTGATCCATCAGTACTGAGATGTTCAGTGAACCCTCACACACACACACACACACACACACACACAC